GACACGATGACATAGTTTATGATCGCATCCCACTGCGCTGTTGGTAAGCCAAGATTTTTTAATGAATTCATACATTCAATTGACGTATCTAGTAGTTGCTTTAAGGACGAAGCTGACTCCTGAGAAAGTGTTTTCTGGCTAAAAAACTTTTTAAATACGCAATTAGCAATGTACCTTTTGTTGTTATAACGCTTTTTCAAAACAGACCAAGCCTCAGCATAATTTGCATCCGTTACCGAAAACTGGCGCAACAAAATTTCTGCATCTCCTTTCAGGCTACTCTTAAGATAATGTAATTTCTGAACATCTTCTAATGACTCATTCCTGTGTATTAATGCAATAAAGAGATCGTGAAACGATTGCCATTCCGTGTAGTTGCCTTCAAAAATTGGAATTGAAATATTGGGTAATTTTATATCACTCCCGGAACCACATGGTCTCATCTCATCTATTTTGTGCAATTTATCTGTTGTTTTTACATCGGCCGTTAATTTTTTTAATGAAGTTTTCATTTCGCCCTTGTACGTAAAATATAATTCTTCAAAATTATCAAACGTATCCTCTGCGAAATACGGTAACATGTGTCTGTCCTTTTTCGAAACAGCCGTAACTAATTTCTCATGACCGGATTTAAATTCCTTCCAATATATTTCTAAAGTTTCTATTCTACTCTGTATATAACCCACGGTTATCCTGTCCTTAGGCGATTTTTTGTAATTAGCGTACGTCTTTTGTACTTTTTCAAATATATCAACTTGTAGCAACATTCTATTTTCAACACTCTCCATCTTAAATATCTTTTATTTACAACAATACAAATCAATTACTTTAGTAATAATTCACAGTTATTTTGTTTAGCCTTCTTAAACTTCAACGTATATGTAGGTAGGTAATTATTCTTACCAATAGGTCCAAAGTTCACAGTAAAACAGTCACGGTTGTTAATAAATACTTGAATAATTGTTTACCAACTCACTATACTCGTATATTAGTTTAATTTACTTCGTATAAGATTACCGTTACACAAAAGTAATGTAATTTTGTTCATTAATAACTGATTTATTCTTCCACTGTTATTCACTTTTTCTTTAAAACTTTCATCGATAATGTTAATTTATTTTTACTAATTAGTCCGTATTCCGTATTTTTTTAAAATAACTCTAATTACATCCATTCGCAAATTTACGTAATTAAAATAGGGCTAGTTGAATGATCCGTGCTCGAAGAACCATGTACACTTTATAATAAGGTGCACTTTTGCTTGCAGGTGAAATAATTCAATAAACGTGTCTTCACTCAATGATTACTTTATTCTTACTGAACATACATTATGACATCTATTGCCGCGCAAACAACTACAGCGATATACATTGTTTTATAGGGATAATTACATAGGGTTACCCGACCGCTAGAAAAAAAATCAAATATGTACTAAACAATAGTAATAATAAGACAATAGAAATCAATTAGCGCTCGATTACTTCCAAAACCGATGTCGCCATCTACAGCCGTATTATAACATACGCAATGCACAATATCTAATGTTCACATTACATTGCTTGGCGACTTTGTCAACGTTGCGTGCGTCGCGTATTACGGTAGAACAAAAGCAGCAATGGTAATTGTACAATACGAAAAGTAATAAATGAGTTTACAAAGGTAAATATCATAGTAAAGTATTCATCTAGATGTCAATTAGTTAAAACAATGATAATTAGTAAATAATCTACTTATCGATGAAATGTTATTACTTTATTACTTGAATTACACGTCCTTGATGTTTTTTACTACTAATTATACTGCAGTTCATCATTATAAATTTATAATAACGTAAATTCACGTACGTCGTTCCCCGCTCAACTAAATCACAATATTGATAATGATGTTCGTCAACACATCATAGCGGCGACAAGGTCACGCGTCTATGCGACTTCTATTGTCTTATTATTACGATTTCTGTGGTTGCGTGGGATCTGTAGGCGTCTTTTAGACAGCTTACGCCGATGGATCATATCATAGTTCAAATTAATTCTAACAGATGGCGCTAGTTTCTTCTAGAATGAAAAACGCGTCAGGCAAATGTTCGGACGACTGCATCTTTACTTTTTAAATCAATGGAGACATTTAAAAATGTGAAATCCTATGGAAGAAGTATGCAGTGGGACTCACCTGGAAATTCTTCTCGGGCAGGTGTATAGCGATGTGCTGGACTAGGTTCGACCTTCTATGGAAGGTGGCGCCACAGTGGTCGCACACGTAAGGCCTCTCACCAGTGTGACGTCTCTCATGAATCTGCGGACGGTGATCTGTTGATATAGTCCTACATCTTTTTCTAGAATCATTGCCATTGTCATCATTATTACAGCCCATTACTAATTCCCTATACTTCGCTTACCGGTACGAGGCTGCTCACTCGAGAACCTTTCTCCACATCGGTTGTTCTTCGAGCTATATGGCCGGCCCATTACTACTTCAGATCTGTTGGGGTACGTGTGATTCTATTGCTGATATCTCATTACGGAGTCGGTTTATACATACAACATATAACAAACATCCTGTGGTTCTCGTTAAGTGCGTTATCAGAATCACTATTCAAACTTTTATAAATAACTTTCTTTCGATCATAAAAAAAATTAAATTAAATTAAATTAAAATAATTTTTTATTTGCAAATTGTATGTTGGTTTATAACCTCAAAAGATTAAATTTAGTAAGTTACTTTTAATAACGTTTCCTTTATTTAATAAAGTAAAGTTAAAGTTAGTGCCTTTAATAAGGAAAAAAATGGGGGAATGACAATATCGTGGACACGGCCTTGTATTTTAGGTGACCGTGTATAATCGTTGATGCGTATAAAAGTAATCACGTAACTCATTTGCACACAATTTGTTATGTCGAAACGATGGAGACCGGAGAAGCACCACGCTCTCACAGAATACCAGTGTAAAACAGCAGCTTAATGCTGCTGTGTTTCGTATGGTGAGTGTAGAGAACCGGAGACCCTTTTTACTGGAAACGAGGCATTCCATCATAGTCCTCACGTGTGACAACGCATCTGTATTTTGATCCTTAATCGAGGATCGATGTCTATGGGCCACAGCATCCACTTACCATCAGAACTCATTGCTCGTATATTACCACAGAACACTATAATACATACATAATAGAACGTGGGAATGGGCCGAGCCCGTGTAGCCACTAAAATGTCACTAACATGTCAATTCACACGTGTAAATGTCAAAACGAGTTGTGATTTGACGTTACCATCGTTTCTAAATTTCGCATGCAAATTATTTAGAAAATGCCTAATAGCACACTATTTACAAATAAATATGTATTAAAATGTAAACAATTTTTTTAATGATGATCTTGAACATTAATCAAAAGTCTAAAATGTTTAAATTTACTCAGCCTATCAACACAGCAAATCGGGTTTGTGGTAGTGATAATACGACGTAATTGCTTGTATGTTTGCTCCCAGCGACGCCGACCCTCGTACAAAATAAGGTTAACAGCCATTCTATTGTGTATTATAGTATTCTATGTATGTTACCCTTATTCTAAAATAAAAAAAACTTCAACACGGAAATGGTAACTGGTATTCAGATGTTTTAAAAACAGATTGTATAGTGGTGCTAGCATTACCGTGAAGGCCTCCTTGGTGGCGGAGGTGTAGTCGCAGTAGGCACACTTGTGTATACGTCCGAGAGAGAGAGAGAGATTTTATAGTGGTGCTAGCATTACCGTGAGGGCCTCCTTGGTGGCGGAGGTGTAGTCGCAGTAGGCACACTTGTGTATACGTCCAAGAGAGAGAGAGAGATTTTATAGTGGTGCTAGCATTACCGTGAGGGCCTCCTTGGTGGCGGAGGTGTAGTCGCAGTAGGCACACTTGTGTATACGTCCAAGAGAGAGAGAGAGATTTTATAGTGGTGCTAGCATTACCGTGAGGGCCTCCTTGGTGGCGGAGGTGTAGTCGCAGTAGGCACACTTGTGTATACGTCCAAGAGAGAGAGAGAGATTTTATAGTGGTGCTAGCATTACCGTGAGGGCCTCCTTGGTGGCGGAGGTGTAGTCGCAGTAGGCACACTTGTGTATACGTCCGAGAGAGAGAGAGAGATTTTATAGTGGTGCTAGCATTACCGTGAGGGCCTCCTTGGTGGCGGAGGTGTAGTCGCAGTAGGCACACTTGTGTAAACGTCCGAGAGAGAGAGAGAGAGATTTTATAGTGGTGCTAGCATTACCGTGAGGGCCTCCTTGGTGGCGGAGGTGTAGTCGCAGTAGGCACACTTGTGTATACGTCCGAGAGAGAGAGAGAGATTTTATAGTGGTGCTAGCATTACCGTGAGGGCCTCCTTGGTGGCGGAGGTGTAGTCGCAGTAGGCACACTTGTGTATACGTCCGAGAGAGAGAGAGAGATTTTATAGTGGTGCTAGCATTACCGTGAGGGCCTCCTTGGTGGCGGAGGTGTAGTCGCAGTAGGCACACTTGTGTATACGTCCAAGAGAGAGAGAGATTTTATAGTGGTGCTAGCATTACCGTGAGGGCCTCCTTGGTGGCGGAGGTGTAGTCGCAGTAGGCAGACTTGTGTATACGTCCAAGAGAGAGAGAGAGAATTTATAGTGGTGCTAGCATTACCGTGAGGGCCTCCTTGGTGGCGGAGGTGTAGTCGCAGTAGGCAGACTTGTGTATACGTCCAAGAGAGAGAGATTTTATAGTGGTGCTAGCATTACCGTGAGGGCCTCCTTGGTGGCGGAGGTGTAGTCGCAGTAGGCACACTTGTGTATACGTCCAAGAGAGAGAGAGAGATTTTATAGTGGTGCTAGCATTACCGTGAGGGCCTCCTTGGTGGCGGAGGTGTAGTCGCAGTAGGCAGACTTGTGTATACGTCCAAGAGAGAGAGATTTTATAGTGGTGCTAGCATTACCGTGAGGGCCTCCTTGGTGGCGGAGGTGTAGTCGCAGTAGGCAGACTTGTGTATACGTCCAGAGAGAGAGAGAGATTTTATAGTGGTGCTAGCATTACCGTGAGGGCCTCCTTGGTGGCGGAGGTGTAGTCGCAGTAGGCAGACTTGTGTATACGTCCAAGAGAGAGAGATTTTATAGTGGTGCTAGCATTACCGTGAGGGCCTCCTTGGTGGCGGAGGTGTAGTCGCAGTAGGCACACTTGTGTATACGTCCAAGGCCGTGTCTCGCGCGTTTGTGCTCCTGCAGCTGGTTGTTGTTCCGGCACCTCTTGCCGCAAGACTGCAAACAAATCACCAATGTTGATTAGAGATTTAACGGATATCTTTTTTGGCCGTAAAGCGGATATTCGGTAATGCTTATTACCGGATAGTCGGATATCCGGTCGACGGATATAGTGCCGAACATTGTCGTTTGGTGTATCGCTAGAAGCAAAAAGTAAAGTCAGTGCAAATTGTTCGCGATCGTGACCCTTATATTTGGTGGGCAGCTAATGATAATCCATCTTGCAGTACCCTGGAGCAGTGTGTACAGCGAAAGACATTTTTCTGAAGCTGGCCCTTTTTATGAAGGCAGGCGAAACCGCTTGTTATCTTTCAATGCAAAGAAAATTTTTTTAACATAATTTGTTGTTAGTGCAGTAAGAGTAATAATTTCCTAAATATAAAAATGAAAATTTTACGATTACTGATTATATTTGTTAATTATATATAAAGTACCTAACTAAATTTGATATTTTGTATTTTTTTAAATCCGGATAGCCGTTTTTGTATTCGGTATTCGGCCGGATAGTAATTTAAGCCAGAAAGGCCGAATACCGGATAGTTAGCGGATACACGTTTCCTCTCTTATATGGACCTTCTTTATAACAATAATAATATCGTCCAGATCGAAATAACACCGTTTCCTACCAAGGAGGATTCGAACCTAAACTAAAATAGAGAAGGTGGCTAAGTCCTACCATGTGCTTGGATCCCATATAATATACAGAGTGTTAGTGTAAACACCGTTATCCTTGAAACCAGTGGTTTGGTTTCACTTATAGAACGTAAATTCAATTAAAAATAATAACATTTTTTTTAGTTAAATCTCAATTTTTGCCTGTTCTAAGCCAGGATGAAAGTATGAAGGAAAAGTTACATCACAGGTTATGTGTACCTATTGTGTTTTTATTGGAATGCTGTGTAGGTAGCTAGCGCGGGCGGTGATCTTTACAGTAATTACGTCACTCGGGCGTATAGGGTATCCATGAATTTACGGACGGTGTCGGACAGAAACTTTTTGAAATTTATGAAAGAAAATAGTTGTTTTTTTTAATTCATTGAATTTACGTTCTATAAGTGAAACCAAACCACTGGTTTCAAGGATAACGGTGTTTACACTAACACTCTGTATAAAAGATGGGATGGGATCCATTTTTTTTGTTCGTTTTTATGCGCTGCCATACCGTTCGTCAGATTGCGGTAAAACTAGGCAGCTTATTACTTGCGCTTGCGCGAAGGTTAGTACATAGCACAATTAATTTACAGTAGGTTGCGCGCATATCATACCGACCAATTTATTTGAAAGTCGTAACTTTTCCATATAAACGATATTTCCACAACTGCTTCTTCTGCGGAACGCGCCGGGAACCAGCTAGTAATTAATAAAATCAAATCCAAGCCCAAGTCTACTACTGTAAGGTAGCCTTCGTTAACACCTCAGACCCCCCCTTTGGTCACCAAAGGTGCTGCAAAGCGCGAACTATTTTTATAGAACCAGGGTGACAAACAAGCATACAGTCTACCTGATGGTAAGTGGCTATTACGGTCCAGTCTAAGAACTGCAATAGCCACAGGCGGAGTTTTGTTCGAACAAAGAGAGCTACACATTCGTTGTCAGCTCTGATATTTAGTCGAGCCGACCCTTTCATGCCACAACCATAATATAGCTGCAGCGTGGCTCTACCACGTATATAATGTCACAAAGCTCGTTCCTGAGCCACCTACATCCATCGACTTTTTTCTTTTTTTTTTTATAGAATAAGGCTGACAAGCGAGCACAGTTGACCTGATGGTAAGTGGTTGCTGCGACCCACAGACATCTACATCAATCCTCAACTACAAATCAAAATAGAGATGTGTTGTCACCCGTAAGATGGAACTAAGATGGAATACCTCTTTCCAGTAAAAAGGTTCTCCAGTTCTGTACACTCGCCATACGAAACAGCAGCGTGAAGCTACTACTTTACGTTGATATTCTGTGTTAGTGTGGTCCTTCCCCTGTCAAGCCGACCCATTCGTGCTACAACTATACAATTAATATAGCTGCAGCATGGCTCTACCACGTAAAAAAAACTTCCTGCATGTCTTACCAGGTCGTCACTCCATCTAGTGGAGGCCAAACTACACTTCGCTTACCAGTACGAGGCTATCACTCGAGAACCTTTCTTCCCCATCGGTTGTCGGTACTTCAGTTCTGGATTAAAGCAATAACAATTTGCACTACAGACCAACCTCACACACACAGTAGTTGGTGTGGAACCTCATATGGGCCTTGTACGTCGCCTTCATGCGGAACTCCTTGCTGCAGAACCCGCACTGGTATGAGGACACATTAGACGCCGAGCCATTCTTTACTTTGGTGATCGCTGCTTTTGACTGAAAATCAGAATGCTATAAGAGGGTCAAGGATTCGGTTAGTAAGATAATAACAATAATGACAAAGAAGCCTAGCAGTCTCTGGATTATAGTGCATGAGTGTGTGAGCAAACACAGGTGCACTCACTGTTCGCTCACTCTTCTAGTCAGATACTAGACACTACCGGAGAGAATTCGGATTCACGGGGGCTAACTTCCTCACTCTGGGCTAATACTGAAAAGCATCTAGACAGAATGGCCCAATAATTTGACACGACTTCAAACTTTCAAACTCAGGACCACATGATTGCGTCGCGTTTATGACCAGTAGACCAAATAAGCTGTCGAAGTCTGTAAAGAAGTATGCGAGCAAACCAGGTTCAAACACCTCCAGTACTGACTAGGCAATGTTATTCCTTCATAAATTACAACCTATCAAAAATATTCTGTTTTACATAGGCCTCTTAAATAGCTTGGGGATATTTACCACAGTTGCCATGCATTGGCCACTGACTGACGGTTTTTTATTACTTATTTATCTTCTGTTACATTCCCTTCTATTGCCTCTGACACCATGAAAGGAACGTACTTATGCAGAACAACGGTGGGGGCACTGAGGGACAGAGGGCGGGCGGACCTTGTGCTAGCGCACTTCACTGATTCTGATTGTTTATCGTGCGGCTATGCATGCGGTTGGCGCGAGCGTGGTTTATAGTACCTATTTAATTAATTTTAAGTGCAATTTTCCAAAAATATAATATCTATAATGGTGAACTACTGTTATAGTTATAATATATATAGCTCAGTAAAATAAAATTCAAATGACGGCCATGCTTTTGTTATTTTTTTTTATAGGATAGGATGACAAACGAACACACAGTGCACCTGATGGTAAGTGGTTACTGCAGCCCATAGAGATCTACATCTATCCTCGATTACGAATCAAAATGCAGAAGCGTTGTCACCCGTGAGGACTTAGATGGAATGCTTCGTTTTCAGTAAAAAGGGTCTCCGGTTCTCTACACCACCATACGAAACACAGCAGCATTAAGCTACCATTTGATGCTGGTATTCTGTGAGAGCATGGTCCTCCCTGGTCGAGCCAACCCATTCGTGCTACAACTATACTACTAATATAACTGCAGCATGGGTCTAACACGTAAAAATGTGTTTCCCTCGTAGTTTTGATAAAATTGTTTATCCAAACGCGAATACACTATATAATTAAATTTAACAATCGAAAACTGAAAACATCTATAAAAGTGTCAGGAAAATATATGTCAGTGCAATACTCGTAAATGATCTTGTTCAATAAATATTTCAACATATAAATATGAACATAAAGTTCATAAATGATAATATTCAAAATTATTTTATTTCCATTTTCGTAACAACCCCTAGCATACACGCTGCCACATAAATACCTACGCAGGTGGTGACATCGCTTGACATCAAAGGCGTTTCACAACGGTAAGGTCTAAACTGTGCTTTAGGGCGTCACTACACGGCATGTGCTTAGGGGTGGGTTGTGCTTAATATAATTCTCACACTCACACCTTTCTAATAGTTATCACCGCTTCGTTGGTGTCAGAAGGGCTATTACTATCTTGAGGTCCCAGGTTTAAATTATCTCTTGTCTAAATCAATGAATTAGTTTGTTAGCAGTAAAATTCTCAGTAATGCTCTGGAGTCAGGAAGTTGGCGATGTTTCACTCCATGCCTCAGAGAGCATGTAAATCTTGTGCCCAATCTCTCTCTGGTCATCCATGGACAGCAATCAATGCCGTCCTATTAAACTGAGAGTGTGAGAATGGAACATGCACCTGTGATTGGGAACTAACTTGTACACTTTAATCTGTTCTGCGCTGACCACAAGCCTCTGTCGAGACTGGTTGTCTTGACAGAAATTCAGTCTGGAGGACATTAGTAAAACAACAGTAAGCAAATTTACCTCTTTTACTTTTGGTTTAATCTCATCCTCAACCGCAGAACAATCATAGTCCATTGAATAATCAGCATCAAAGAAATCATAAGAACAGTCTTCTACCAGCACTTCGGCTTTACCTTTCTCAATTCTTGGACTCTTTCTTAGATTATGTTTCCGTTTGGAGTATTTCTTCTTCACTTTCACACCCGATGTCATGTTAAGGAGGGCTTTTTCTGCCTTCCTACTCTTCCTCCTAAACTGTAACACTGCTTGCACAAATTCAATGCAGTGATTGCAGATTTTCTGAGACAAGCCATCGTTTAACTTAATCTGAAATAAATAAAAGAATTTTATAATATTTTTATGATATTAAGATTGATAACTAGGGTTCCCAACCCTCCCAGATTGCCCGGGAGACTCCTGTAAAATGGTTAATCCCCGACCTCCCAGGACCCTCTCCTCCCTTTCTAAAAATTATATTCATCCATCGCTCGCAGTCGCTTTGCGAAATCGACAAAAATTAAACGCAAAGTAAACATAAATTTAAAAAGAAATAAATGATTGAGATTTTCTTTCACCCCCATCCTCCTCCTGTACTCGATTACATGAAATAGAGGAAGTATGACTTCAAAAATATTGTTGAATTAAATTTTTACCTTCATTTCTTTTTTAATCTAAATTAGTTAAATTTGAAGTAAATATTAAATGCATATTTTCGTCTCGTTATTCGTAAAGCAAAGGAGTGGAAAAAGTTGCCAGCATATGTCTTTCCATCCAATTACAATGAGCTTAGATGGTTAGCGCTCACTGTGAATTGCACGGTACGTGAGCACAACCTGGGTTCGATTCCCGCCGGCACCAATGAAATTGCTAATTGCATTTTTAAATGCTAATTTACCGCGTGCTCGGCGGTAAAGGAAATCATCGTGAGGAAACCTGCATGTCTGAGGCATGTGAAGTTCGCCAGCATGCATTGGGGCAGCTCGGCGATCACTTTCTTGCCCTAAAACCTCTCAGAAATAAGAGGCTTGTGCCCAGAAGTAGGACGATACAGGCTGTAACTTTTAACTTTAACCATGTGGGTGTCTTCAAGGCAAGAGTGAATAGGCGTTTGTTGAATCAATGCACATCGCCCATCTTCAGTTGCATTATTACTTACCATCAGATGGGATATTAGTTAAACGGCTTATAATAGTAAAAAAATGTTTCAGCGTGTAATAGTGTACACATAAATACAATGTAAAATTATAATTATAACAATGTATCTCGTTGTTCTTCATCAACAAGTTAAAGCTTGCAGTTGGCCATGTGTCTCCCCCATTGCAGACGGGGTTTGTTTCAATTGTCCCGCTTATTAACCAATGCAGTTAAAGAGGTGAACACCTTTTATATATACAACATGTCCCAAAATTCAATGTAAAGCGGGCACCAGAGAGTAGACAAATTTATGACTAAACTCTTCTTCTTCTTTGGTTTGGATGGCCTCTTCAATACTTTTTATTATCTGAAGAAGTGCCGATTCTATCGATTTGCCTAAGCTGTAGGTATGTTGCTTGTTGTATAGTAGTCAGTTCATTAGCACCGCCTCTATCATCTTTAGGAGAAAGGATGTGAGATTAATGGATCTATAGGTTTTTGGAACCATACTAAATTATTTTAGGATCTTGATTAGTTGAGCTAACTTTTATAATAGCTTGCCATAGCAGTGTTGATAAACTTTTTTATACTGTGATGAGTGAAAATTAAAAGTGAAATTTTTCCAAACATGCAAGAAAAAAATTAAGTTAAATTTCTTTTTGTTAAACTTCAGATATTTTCAATTTATTTGAAACTGGCATAAACAGCTATGCTACTTAGGTTGCAAATACAAAAAAAAAATAACTGTGCTACATATTTGCAAAATTGGTAGTCATAGTACCTAAAAATACAATATGGTGTGTCAAATTTTAAAGTATTTAAAAAAAAAGGTATTATAAATTTAAAATAAAATCAGATGTATTTCTCTTAGGTAGTCATCAATTTGTCCACTCCCTGGTGCCAGCTTAATGTTTCATTTTGGGACACATGCTATGTGATAACAGATGTAACATCGTAATAATAAAGTTAGAATTCCAAATATGCCAAAACTTTTGTGCAAAAACACAGGGTTTTTTACAGCATATGTAAACTTTAAAAATAATTTTGTATAAAAACATCCTCCATAGTGACAATTTCTACTCTAATCAAATAGGTCATTACTCCATCTAGCGAACATAAACATTTTTATTAAATCTACAAATACAGAGTGGGCCAGAAAGAATTGCGAATTTGAAAAAAATCTTTAAAAAAAATGTAAGTACAATTCACATACAAATTTTTATTTATACAAAAACTTACATCTGGGAAATTCATTTCTTAAAAATAACATCATCCAGATGTGCACCATCGCGCTGCAAACATTCTTCGAATCTGAACCTCAAATTGGTAAAAACTCGCTGGCACATTGCACGGGGAATATCTGCCATTTCTTTCCGGATATTGGTCTTCAACTGGTCAATTGTGGCTGGGTTATTGGAGTAGACTCTACTTTTTAGGTATCCCCACAAAAAAAAAGTCCAGTGGTGTAAGATCCGGACTTCTAGGAGGCCATTCAATGTCACCTCGGCGCGATATCAGTTTCTCACCAAACATCTCGTTTACGACCGTCAAAGAGGCTGTGTGGCATGTCGCGCCATCTTGTTGAAACCATGTCGCACGATTATAGGCTTCAAATTGTTGCAGTTGTGGAAAGAAAAAATCCCTTAACATGGCTATAAATCGGTCAGAATTTACAGTGACAGATTGGCCTTGTCGATTTTCGAAGAAGTGGGGTCCAATAATTCCGTGCGCTGACATGGCCGCCCAAACGGTTACTTTCGGCGAATGTAGAGGCTTTTAATGTTTTGCACGTGGGTTCTCTGCAGCCCAGTAACGGCAATTCTGTTTATTCACCTGCCCATTTATGTGAAAATGGGCTTCGTCGGAGAACAGAATATTGTTGAAACTCCGAAAGCGTTCCAGCATCGTTTCAACAAAAGCTCTCCTTAAAATTGGATCATTTGGCTGTAATTCCTGCACAAGTTGAATTTTATACGGATGCAATTTCAGATCTTTCACCAAAATGCGACGCAAAGATGTTCTGGACACCACAAGTTCGGCTGAACGCTTTCGAGTCGATAGAACAGGATTACATTGAACTGAAGCTCTAACTTGTTCAATTGTGTCTTTCGTTCTTGTTGACCTTGGGCGTCCCGCAGGCTTCTGTTTGAGAGTCGAACCAGTAGCTTCGAACTTTCTGACCCACGATCGAATCACGCTTTCTTTCGGACACTGATTTAGGTCATGTAATCCAAACTCACGTCGAAATAAACGCTTAACAATAGCGCACGAATCGTGATTTTTATAATAATGTTTAACGCAGAAAGCACGTTGCGCTCCCGTGAAGTGATCCATCGCGACTAAATTTCCGAGAACCGAGCTACTTAACCCCACCACCCGCGCAGTCCCCTCTCTAAAGCTTCAAACGCAAGAGTGTTTTTAAAATCGTACTCCTTTCTGGCCCACCCGTTAGAATAAAGAATAATTCTATGCAAGTGATGCTTGCATTCCTGTGTAATGGCTGTATAAGAATACCCACCACCCCATATCGCCCTTGGGTGTCGTAAGATGCAACAGTGACAAAGTGAAACAGAAGATGGGCAGCAGCATCTTCCTGATACCAAGTCCAAATAATAAAAAACCGGATCAAACCCAACGCATCCTAATTGAAATGCACTTCCTAGGTTGCTGTGTAACTCAGGAGGTGAACCGGCATGAAGATATACTGATTCTAACAACAGAAGAGTGGAATTTAGCACAAAGACTAGATTAGACCCATTAGCCTCACATTCTGTCTTAGAATCGGCCTTCTGTCTTAGACCATGCGAGTGGGAGACCAATTGTTCAAAATGAAAAGATTAAATTTATTAAAGACGATAAATAGTAAGGAAAAAGAATCATTTTTATGAGAGCCCCATAGTATGTTATGACTATTGAAGTCTCCAATTACAATAAAAGAATCAGATATACTAGACAGGATTAAGTTAAGCTCTGGGATATAGGCAGGAGTAGGATTGGAAATATATATTGACACAATTGTGACATCCATTGCTTTTACAGCTATTGCATTAATATTCTCTTGAAGAGGGAGAAAGGGAATTAAGCAGGAGAAGCGATTTCTATTTAGAAGAATCATAGTGCCGCCGTAGCCATCGCTGCGGTCATCACGGCTGCAGGAAAAACCAGGGTTTCTGAATCTACAACCAGGTTTTAGCCCGGTTTCTGCAATAGCAATGACTGAGGGATTATGAGTATTTATCAAATTAATTAGTTCAGATTTCTTGTTCTTGATGCTCCGACAATTCCACTGAAGGATGTGGAGGCGATTGAATTTTATAAATTTTTTGGAAGAGCACATCAAGTTTGTTTCTCATGTTAAACGGTAGGTGTATGTCGTCAAATTTGCCAATTATATCAGAGATGGGAGACACAAAGTTTTCCAAGAGATTATCATTAGGGGATAAATTAGCATGACCATTTGGAAGGGAAGAGGTAGGTGTTCTTACAATATTGTTCTGTGCTTCCTTATCCATGCCTGCAGAATTTGGAACAGGTCTAGTTGGGTTATTTCTGAAAACAGTCTTTCTATAAGATTAGAAGGCAGAAGGAGCAGGGTGAATACTTGATACCTGTTGAGATGAAGTGGAGAGGGAAGGTGTCCCTACAGATGCAGCTACATCGGCGTAAGGTCTTCTAACTACAGGGAAGCAAGCAGATGCCTCTAGATATGAAACGTTTTTTTGGGACATGACCAGTTTAATGCCTTTTTGTCTTGAATGTTCAGGGCAACTTTTATCAGCTGCCAAGTGGTTAGCAGAACAGAATAGGCATTTTGGGGCGTAAGGTGCACATCGGCCCAGGACCATTGTTTTATTGTTCTGGAGATTTTGAGAAACCACTACCTGACTGCTGTTGAGATATGCCAGTGGCTCCAAATCGCAAGAAGTGTTAATGTAAGTGAGCATACGGTGAGAAGACGAATGGAGGAAGTGAATTTAAAAGCTTGTAGACCAGCTTGAGGTCCAGAACTTCTCAGACAGCACTGAGTAGCCCAACTTCAGTTCGCAAGAAAACATGTCAATACTACTACTAAACTACTCAATACATTGAGGAAGTTCTTCAGGAGCATGTAATGCCTTATTGGGATTCATTAGACACAACCAATTCATACTCACGCATGCCCACACGTCGTAGATTGTGTAGAGGAATATCTGGAAGAGGTTGGAATACAAAAATTACAGAGGCCAGCTCGTAGCCCGGACTTAAGTCCAATTGAGTATGTATGGGGCATGCTCTAAAGAAAGATAAAGTCTAAATTGCCACAAACTCTAAATGAGCTTCGAAATGCAGCGCTGGCCGCTTGGGACAGCATACTGCAAGTTAATGTCAGAAACATCATTCAAAGCATACCAGATCGAATGCAGGCAGTTATCAGGGCTAGAGGAGGAAACACCCGATATTAAAACTGATAGACAATAAAGAAACAGATTTAATTTTTAATGAGTTTTAAAGAGACAATGGAAAGATGTTAATTTTAGTGAAAACATGTTATCCTGAAAAGAAAAATTTTGGTGAAGTAAACATTAAAATGTCTATGTTCTAAAACCATTAGAGACACTTATTGAATCCATCTACTCTTAATTTACTGTTAAAAAAATGTTAAGTGCAAATAATCAGCAAATTCAGGAGTGGCCAAGTTTCCGTGCCGGTAAGTGTCTATGCGGTCTAGGACGAATCGGCGCGACGTTTGTTATTGGGACGTAGCTGGCTGCATTTGCCACTAGCGGGTTTGGATGGGTATCGGCGCTATCAAAGAAGCGCTGAGACATTTAACAGTAAATAAACAGAAAATGAAATGGCCAAAAGTTGTTTCTTAAGCACCTACTTCATTGAATTCATAAATTACCTCTAAGCCAGTCACCAGCCGGAACTCCTCCGATCTCTTTTCTTCCATTTCCTCACTTTCAAAAATTGGAACTAGGTTTTCAGTGCTCAAACAGGTCCTACATATCGAAATCTCAGGTTCTTTTTTCTCCGATATTTTTGGTTTCGTCAATCGACGGGTGGCCCTTCGCCGCATACTCATACGATTTATTAATAGGACAGCCAGCATCATTGATAACACTAAGATTTTTTTATTTTAAAATAATATACATCATATAAATAACACACCTATTATCCTGCAGAGTTATATATACAGGTTATAGCTTCAATTGGTTTCCACTTTAAAAACTGTGTTGTGGTTGTGTGTAACAATCATCAATTGACTTTAACTTTTTATACAATTAAAATATAAATACCAAGCAGACTTGAAGGGGAGCATAGATAAATAAAACAAACAAATAAACAATTTTTTTATTTAACTGGGTTTACGAATCTGGGTTCTAGCTCTTCTGAGCCCATAATTTCTTTCGGAACTTCAACTTTATTGATTTTTCTTCACAATATGCTGATGCGCCACATTGTAAAGTTTTTTGGGAGATTTTGACGACAGCTCAACCCAGCGGATAATTGATGACGACAGTCACTCAAGTTCATAAAACGCTTTAGCGTTCAAAATAACTTGAGGTTTATATCATCATCGGAGCACTTGTTTCTTCGTTTTCTCCAACAGTTTACTTGTTCAGACACTTAATTCACAAAATCACATCACCTTTACGAATCTAAATCCACTTCAAACCATTATTTAAGCAATAAAACTAGAGCAACAATCCATCCACGGCCTAGTGACGGTCAAATTTCCGCCAAAAACTAAACAAATAAACATTTTTAATTAACTGCCTTTACGGCTCTGGGTTCTAGCTCCTCTGAGCCGATCATTTATTAAATAAATTATATATTATTTAAAAAAAACATAACATAATATAAAATTAATAAACAACTTCATTAAATATATGATTATGATAATTTAAACTATTCTAAAATATAAAACGCTCCATGGGCCTCAATGTTAATATGAGCAGACGCTGTTTGAGATTTTTTTCTTAAATCATTGTAGCTTTTTTTACATATTGTTTATGTACCTTGTACCTACCTAACTCGTTTCTTTGAAACTGACCTCACGTACGATTTGGATGAAATTTGGTACTGTTTTTAAATAAAAAGTGTCGTAAATTTGAAATAGTACATAAGAAAATGCTTATTGTAAAACATATTATAGTTTGAATGAATATTTTAATAATAAATTATAAATCAATTTTAATTATTTGACAATTTTCTTTAATATCTATTTACATATTTGACATTGTTAGTATTTTTCATCAAAATTTTTAAACTTTCCGTATATAATATTGTAGTCTCTGTTTTAAACTTTATTTACTTAATATAAATGACGAATGATCAATCAGTTGACATATAATATTTATTGAAATATAATTTTTAAAATAAATGTATGAGTATTATTTAGTCTGATATTTTATAAATTAATTAATAATAATTTATATATTGTGTACTATAAATACTGTAATTTAAATGAATTCCATATTAATTAAAATTTAAACTCTGTTTTGACATGCTACGCCCGTACAGGTTGTCACATGTTCTGTAAAAATATAGTTCCAACTTTATACTTGGTGACAATGAAATAATGCAATAAAGAATTATGAATTAAAAACAGTGTACCTAAATACTAAATAACCTATACCTCATGAATCTGGCAATAATGTACAAAAAGAATTTTTCAAATCGGAATAGTAGTTCTAGAGATTATTAATATAGACATAGATATAAATCGAAATCCTTTATCGATATTAAAATATCGAAAAACACCTATTAATTATCGGTATAATTTGTACTTTATTGCACGAATAAAACTACTTTTTACGAATTTTATTATTTTTAATTACCTATGTTTGAGCAAAGCTTTCAATCGTTGTTTAAGCGCGTGTTAAAATATTTTAGCTTAAGTTAATTCTCGCATAACTGTGCTATTAATATATTTCGCATTAACATATTTTTTTGTTATTTTGTACGGTATGATTACTTTTTATCATTTAAACATAAATTTGTAGGTAAAGTAAGACATTATCTACATTAATTTTAATATCCAGAAAATTATTTCTTTTCTTAATCCTTATTTTTAATTTCATTTTGTGTGTAGGTCACCTAGTGTTTATTATACATACGACCTTGAGAATCCATCGATTTCGGTTCGATAAAATGACTAGAACAATAGAAGGACGTAGATGACGCTATTTAATAGATTTAACAAAGATTATTAGCTATTTAGCTTATTTAACAAAGCGATTTTACTCGAAAGAAAATCTTTTTTTAATTTAGTACACTAAAATTTTGGCAGTACATGTGTAAAAATAAGGATTGTAATATTTATTTGCTATAAAATTAAAGCTGTATCTTATATTTTATGCAAATGCGGCATAATGTATGTTATGGTTGAAAAAAATCTGATAGAGAACAAAAAATGCCTATCATACCTTATCGTAAGGTAATGGTGGACCGATAGTTCCCAGAGTATTACCGTCATCTACATTCGACCTCTATAATCTTTCAGCACTTAATTATCACTTAATTTTTAGGCACTCTTAAAGAATAAAAATGTCGTTTACACCTTATGGTAAGGTAATGGTGGTCGTGGAATATGATTCCCAGAATGTTACCGTCATCTACATGCGACCTCCATAATATTTCAGCACTTAATTTTTAGGCACTGATAAAGAACAAAAATGCCATTCACAACTTATGGTAAGGAAATGGTGGTCGTTAAAAGTATAAGTCTTAATCTACATCGTGTCTCGGTAATCGCTCAGCACTGAATTCCTTCCTACTAATATTTATCGTACATCTATTACCGTCACTGCGTTGCTAACGATATGTTTTGCCAAGCAACGCAAATTTGAATAGTTCGTTGTGGTGAAAATTCTAGAGCTCCTAATTTTTAAAAAGGACACCTAATTAGCACCTTAAAAGCCCCCAATTTTGGCATTTTCTAAATGCAAATTCCTGACTTTGCGTAGATTTGCAGAAAACCTGATTTTTGCATCTGCTTTGTTGTAAATAACAACTTTATTTTTATTAGGGGCGCCTTGTCACTGCCTATACTCGCAGCACTTAATCTTTTTTAAACTTTACCCCTACAGGGCAGGGCAGTTTCATCATCATCATCATCATCATTACAGCCCTTCACAAGTCCACTGCTGAACATAGGCCTCCCCCAAGCAATGCCACAAAGCACGGTCCTGAGCCACCTGCATCCATCGACTTCCTGCATGTCTTACCAGGTCGTCACTCCATCTAGTGGGGGGTCGCCCTACACTACACCTACCGGTACGAGGCTGCCACTCGAGAAACTTTCTTCCCCATCGGTTATCGGTTATCGGCTATATGGCCGGCGCATTGCCACTTCAGCTTACTAATCCGGAGGCGTGGAGCAGAAGTGCGGTGGTCTTGTTCTTTAAGAAAGACGACAACGCTCTCTTGAAGAACTACAGACCGATTCTGAGCCGCATCTACGTGCTGTTTTCGAGAGTCATTACGAATCGTCTCGCACGCAGACTCGACGACTTCTAGTCTCCCGAACAAGCCGGTTTCCGAAAAGGCTTCAGTACCATAGATCACATACATACCCTGCGGCAGATTGTACAGAAGACCGAAGAGTACAATCTGCCACTTTGCCTGGCGTATGTGGACTATGAGAAAGCCTTTGATTCCGTCGAAATTTGGGCGGTGCTACAGTCTCTTCAGCGGTGTCGAGTTGACTGTAGATATATCGAAGTGCTTGTAGCGGCGCTGTCGTCGCGCCACAAGCGAAATACACCGAAGCCTAAATCACGCTATCAACATTCCGAATCATAAACAGTATATATAGAACATCTCCGAACTATCACATGGAGTGTTGGCCGCTCCCCGGGCAGAACACCTTGCCTGGCGGGAGATCTCCCCTTTTCCTTCCACGGCCACAGTGGTGACTCCGACGTGATCTGAACACGCAACCAAACAACCTTCGGAAACTTCAAGCTTCATCATCGTCATAAAATACCCCACCCATTCGCTCCCGAGCAGATATCGTCTGCAGTCTTCATATCCTGCAAGCCATCTAGCTTCACAAGGTTCATCGCAGCACTGGAATAATAATGCTTCCTGTTCCTTCAAGCTACTCTCTGTGCTATACAGTGTTCGGCACGGCTCTGAGCCTTACTGCTCGCCTCTGCTTCACGGCACTCTCGCAGATTACTTGCCTTCTTCTCGACTCACCGCAGACTACAAGGCAATCTCCTGGCACTTGCACATTCGTCGACAACGAGACTGCACTATCGACCTCCGGTCTGAGCAGGGGGTGATGTAGCGGCGCTGTCGTCGCGCCACAAGCGAAATACACCGAAGCCTAAATCACGCTATCAACATTCCGAATCATAAACAGTATATATAGAACATCTCCGAACTATCACATGGAGTGTTGGCCGCTCCCCGGGCAGAACACCTTGCCCGGCGGGAGATCTCCCCTCAGGAGTCATTACGAATCGTCTCGCATGCAGACTCGACGACTTCCAGCCTCCCGAACATGCCGGTTTCCGAAAAGGCTTCAGTACCATAGACCACATACATACCCTGCGGCAGATTGTACACAAGACGTAAGTGGACTATGAGAAAAATTCCGTCGAAATTTGCCAAGTGCCAAGTTGACTGTCGATATATCGAAGTGCTGAAGTGTTTGTACAGTAGGGCTACGATGGCTATCCGAGTACAGAACCAGAGTTCGAATCCTATCCAACTGCAGAGAGGTGTAAGACAGGGTGACGTTATATCCCCGAAACTCTTCACCGCTGCGTTGGAAGATGTTTTCAAGCTACTGGACTGGAAAGGATACGATATTAACATCAATGGCGAGTACATCACTCACCTTCGATTTGCCGACGATATAGTCCTTATGGCAGAATCGCTGGAGGACCTTAGCACTATGCTCAATGACCTCAATGGTGTCTCCCAACGGATAGGTCTTAAGATGAACATGGACAAAACAAAGATCATGTTTAATGTCCATGTCACACCTATGCCGGTAGTTGCTGGGAGCATTATGCACGAAGTTGTTGACGAGTACGTTTACCTGGGACAAATAGTACGACTAGGTAAGTCCAACTTCGACCGAGAGGTCAATCG